CCTTCCGTCTAGGCGCGAGCTCGCGGCAGCTCGACGTGGACGGGTCGCTCGCGCGCGAGCTGCAGACGCAGGAGCGGTACGGCGACCCCACGACCACGGGCGTCATCTGGCCGCGGGTGGTCGAGATCGGGCTGCTCGCAGGGCTCGGGTGCGGCAAGGTGCCGGCCTCGGGATATGGGGAGATGCGGGGAGATATGGGGAGATACGGGGAGCCCCACGCCCTAGCCGCTGCCTCCTCAGCCCCCTGCCCCCTTGCGACACGGTGCTTGCGCTCGCACCGTGGACGGTACTCGCACTGCAGGTTGGTGCGCCTCCCCAGATCTCCCCAGATCTCCCCAGATCTCCCCACATCTCGCACTGCAGGTGCTGGTTCGCCTCGCCCTCGAGGAGCTGGCCGCGTCGGGCCGTTTCGACTTTGTGGTGCTGCAGGCGACGATGGCGTCCGTCTCCTTTTACGAGGAGATGGGCTTCGTGCGCGTCGGCGCCGTCGCGCGGTATGCGTCCGAGGGCACGCCGCTCGACGCGCTGCCGCTGCAGGGGTACCGGCACTGGGCGTCGGCGGACGAGTCGCAGCTGGAGCAGTTTGGCGACATCTCGTACATGATGGCGCTCAAGCTTCTCGGAACCTGCTCGGAACCTTCTCGGAACCCTCTAGGCGACATCTCGTACATGATGGCGCTCAAGCTTCTCGGCACCTGCTCGGAACCTTCTCGGAACCCTCTAGGCGACATCTCGTACATGATGGCGCTCAAGCTTCTCGGAACCTGCTCGGAACCTTCTCGGAACCCTCTAGGCGACATCTCGTACATGATGGCGCTCAAGCTCTCCGACCTGAAGAAGGACCCCGCCTCCAAGGGCCTCTCCAAGCGGCTGGTCGCCGAGTGGCCTGAGGTGCACACCTCGGCCGTCTCCTATACCTCCCCATCCCTCCCCATCCCTCCCCATCCCTCCCCATCCCTCCCCATCCCTCCCCATCCCTCCCCATCCCTCCCCATCCCTCCCCATACCTCCCCATACCTCCCCATACCTCCCCGTATCTCGAGCAGGTGCACACTTCGGCCGTCCGCTCGTCGCACAAGTCGTCCAAGTCGCACCGCAAGAAGGCGGCCTTCCATCTAGTCTGCGCCTTCCAGTAGCCCACGCCTCACCGCACGCCTCCGTACAGCCCACACGACCACGCCTACTTTGCACTGTGGTGTGTGTACCGCCGCCCCGCTTCTTTTCGTCACCTCGCTCGCCTCCTCGCACGCCCTCCAGGTGCAGGTCAACGCGGCGGGCATCGAGGGCGGCTCTGCCATCAAGGTTGGCGACTTGGCGCTCAACATGGCCGAGGGGGACGACGCGCGGCTGCAGCTCTGCTATGAGCCGGAGCGGATCATGGAGCAGCGGCTCGGCGAGATCGAGCCGAGATCTAGCGGAGCAGCGTCGCGCGCGTCACTCGCAGCAGCCTCCCGTGCCACGCCGCGGCTGCTCCCGCCTGCTCCCGCTCACTCCCCACCCACTCCCTCACCGCCACTCCCTCCTCCCGATGAAGGCGAGACGGGCGAGGTGCAGTACCTGATCAAATGGAAGCACTGCCCGCCGGAGAGCAACACGTGGGAGTACGCGCCGCCTAGAAGCCACCCTCCCCTACCCCACACGGTACCCGAACCCACCCTCCCCTAGCACTGCCCGCCGGAGAGCAACACGTGGGAGTACGCGCCGCCTAGAAGCGGACGGCGTGTTCCTTGTCTCCTTAGTAGCACTCGAGAGGACGCGCACTCCGCCGTAGTCCGCCGGGTTCATTGTATTCGCAGCCCCTCGCATTCACGCGGTGCTCTAGAGCACACTGCACACACCACCATCTCCCCCCCCTCATGTTCATGTCCCCCTCATGTTCGTGTTCACGTCGGTGTATTGACCGTGCAGGTACGCGGGCGCGGAGCTCCTCAAGTCAGAGGCGGCCAAGGCGGCGCTCGCGCGCTTCCGTAAGCACGTGCGCAAGGACGCGCTCCCGTCGGTCCACCACCACCCGAGCCAGGCGCTTGCCCTCCCCCACCCCCACGGTACCCAAACCCACCCTCCCCCTACCCCACGGTACCCAAACCCACCCTCCCCTCCACAACGCGAGCCAGGCGCCGCGCTCGCACAAGCGCGGCGGCTCCTTCGACTGGGCGAACGCCTCGCGCGCGGAGCTGCTGCAGGCGCCGC